GTACTTGTCAATACTTATTCCGTATAAATTCAAAAAATATCCACTGGACTTGGTTTTCAAGATTTGAAGACGTTTCGCCACCTCTCCAGGAAGCTTTCTCAATTCAAATGTCTGGATCCGCAGTGAGTTTGAGTCTTATATAGACAACGCCTTGTATCGCTTGGAAACGTGCAATGGTAACCGATGAATGGGTCGTTAGTTCATCGTTAGCCTGTAATATCTAAAAATATCTGTTAAAGTGTTTTTTATTTCAATCAATTCCTAAAACTTGAATAATCAGTAGAGGTTTAGGTTTGTTTGGGGTTTTTTACCGGTCCACAAACTTTTTTAGGTTCATTATTTCTGTTTATCGTTCAGTCGGAGTGTTCGCGCTGCAGCTGACTCCAGCGAGACGTATGACCGAATACTCATTAGGTGCCACGGCTACGAAAACCCTTCTGTGGTGGAATATCTGCTGCAGAAGGTGGGGATCAGTGACACCAACCCCCCATCGATGATGCGAGGATTGCAGTGGTGAGTGCGTTACCTCACTGAACCGTTTTCTCTTTCTCTTCTCTTTCTTTTATGTTTTGAAGACAGAAGAGTCTCTGTCATGTTTTAAAAAAGACAATGGACACTGTGAAAATGTGGCAGCCTTTGAAGCATCTTGTTAAAACTCTGAACTTCCTTGAGCAGGGGTTTCCTGATACTGACATAACACCAAATGTCTATTAGAAATAAATCCAAACCTTGTGTCAGAGAAGTATGCATCAGAGCCAGGAAAGGAGAAACTGGTTAAACAGCATTTTTTTCTCATTACTGGAACAGAAACATTTCTGCCCTTGTGCTCATCTTCCCATGAGCAGCATTCTTAAGTAAACTCTTGTAAAGTTTTAACTGTAACATATTCTATGGTCTTTACAGTAAGCTTTTCGAAGAGGACGATTTTGCTTCTGCAATCAGGAAAAAGCAGTCTGCGTCCTGGGCCTTGAAATGGTAACATCAATATGCTAAGTTTGAATTTCTGTTGATAATATGAATATAATCGCATCACTAGCCAGTTGATGCAAATGGGATTGTGCTTTGCCCTGGTCTTCAGTGTTCGGGCTGGTGTGGACCACTTCAAACATGGCCGCCATGTGGAGGCCATGAATGAATACAACAAAGCTCTGGAAATCGACACCAACAATGTGGAGGCGCTGGTGGCGCGAGGAGCTTTGTGAGTTTTCCTTTCATTTTTACAGTTTAGCTAATGTTCAATGATTGTGCCGCTCTTAAGATGTAAAGATTGTAAAACAGTTGTTACGTAATCCTCAGACTTGTTCCTCATTCCAATATGAAAAATGAGGAATGAGCATATTATTGCAGTCATGTTTAAAACACCTGCTTTTCAGGTATATGCATTTATAAGAGCAAAATCTAAAGAATGCCACTCATAGACATGGACAATTGCTGCTTTTTATGCACAAATGTACTTCTGATTAGCTGCTTTGAACCCGTCTGTACTGTCAAGGTTTTTATTTCTTGAACACTTCAGAACTGAACCTTTTTTTAAATATGCCCTGCTTTCTACACAAAATAAATTCTAGGAAGACTTGCAGGCTGAAATCTTTACTTATTAAGTTTTGTTTAATAGTTTTAGTGTAACACTGCTCCAATTCTTCCTTAAAATAGATTTTAAATCTTGATAATACGGTGGCCCAGAGGGGTCCAAAAGCCACGACACAACATGTGATTATGTTGTAACTTTTAAGTTTTTGTTGTGGCTTTTTGGATTTTGCTGACTCCTCTGGGCCTCCGTAGTTGAGACTTTTCCTGAATAATAAAAAAAGGTTGATAAAAAAGTTTTAATAAGCTGCATAATATTAAAAAAATCCCTGTACATGTCTCAATACTTTAGCAAAGATACTGATTGAACAAAATCTCAGAAGTTAATGCAGGGCTTCACTAACATGATTGTTTTTTTTGTTTTGTTTTTTTAATCTTTTCTGTTGTTTTTCTGTCTCTGTTTACTCCCAGGTATGCTAACAAAGGCAGCATCATGAAGGCTATTTCAGACTTTGAGTTGGCTCTGGAAAACTGTCCGGACCACCGGAATGCAAAGAAATACCTTTGCCAGACTCTAGTGGAGCGAGGAAAACAGTAAGTAAAGCTGCCTGTTGATAACCAGACCTGAGATAACATGAACAGGAAGGTATTTATCTATATTATAACTGAAGCTAAGGCATTTTAAATCGCTAATATATTTATCTTTATATTGGTTTGTTTCTCAGACCGTTAGAAAAATATTTTGATGGGGAATTTAACTTTTTTATTTTTTATTAGATTTTTTTTTTAATTAAAGGCAGACTTCAGCTGCTTGTATATGATATTTGAAGCCAGTTTTACTCTGAGCTCTATAACCACTCCTTTAAGGGAGGCTGGCATAGATTTTTTTTTATTTCTTTTTTTGTTTTTCCCATCACTGCAAGTTGTGTCTCATGAACCACAGCCATCTTGGCTTCATCTGTGACACGCATGAGAGGAAAGAACAGCTTTAATCTGCTTTGGTAATCTAAACCAGCAGAATTAAAAACATTGCGCACACATTATTTTAAGCTATTTTTTTTTACTGTGTTCTATCTCATTTTAAGCATAAAAACTATAAAAACAGACCTTAGACTTAGGGGTGATATTTGGCATGTGTGTTGCAATTTAAAACGTGTCACAATAGTTGGGTCACACTATTATCACGGTATTTGCAATATCACTATATATTGCAATATTTTACCCACCTATCAAAATGAAATGTATAGATAAAAAAGCAAGTGCTGTATATGTTCATTAGAAATTATGTTGATTGGGGTTTGAATCAGTTAACATCATCCTCACTGAATGCCACAGCTATAGAACTGGTGCTGTGGCGCACAGCAAAAGGGCTCCACGGCACTATCTGCCAGAGTGACAATGCAGAGGTAGCCCGTTTTTCCTCATTGTTTGATTTTTTTTTTTTTTCAACTGAAAGATGCATGTTATATTGGGCAGCCGAAATCACGATATCGCTACTTAAACTTCGCTACTTAAACTTCATTAAAAAGTTTGATTAGCCTGAAAATAATTAAATGAAATTAATTCTATCTTTTTACTGCTGTTTATACTGCTGTAAACTAAACCAGTTCTCTACCAGAACTGGTAATAAACTGGCGTTGCATTGGCCTGGTTTAAACACACAAACATTCATTGTTTAACCTGCTCATGTTATTCCTGTTTAAACTCATCTCCACATACCATCATCATTTTTTTTTTTTACTGCTGTTTAGTTGTTATAAAAGTGCAGCTTGTCAACAATGCCAGACTCAGATGAAACTCTGACCCCGCCCTCTGAGCTGCTGCTACAGCTGGTTTGTGTGCAGAGTTCTCTTTTGCTTTGTGACCCACTTCCGTACAGAGTTAAACCAATGTGAAAGCAAAGCTATTGGGTGTAGACATGTTAAGAAAATATCTTAACACTCCGGAATAGAAGCGTTCTGCCGCTGCTCTCATCTTGTTTTTTGTTCCAGATCATTTGTTTTTTGTTTGTGATATAAAAAAATGGGTCTTTTAATCTACAATCTGCCATAATTCCTATCCTTTTAGTTTTAAATTTCTAATTTATGTGAGAAGTCTCTAAGATGAGTTTCATGATGATTTATTTTTTTTGTCAGCCATATTGTAGAAATACTTTACCTGTTGTTTGTTTGTACTCATAACAGATTGTCCAAAGATCTGCTATCCAGTCTAATGATAGCGTACTGTTGGTATCGACCTAGATGCAGATATTGTTTTCACCTCAAGAAACAAGCAACAAAACAAACTATTTGCTTTATGGCAGCTTTTTTAATCCATGAGTATCACTAATAAATAACTTTTTACAGATGATGTTAAACTTGAAATTTGACTTTATTTAGTGAATAACTTTGTAATGTATCTTGTTCTATTTCCCCATAAGGAAAAAGATCACTGCAGAGTCTGTGACTGCTGGGAAATTGATTCATTTATGACATTAAAAGCATAATGGATGTTATTAAAAGCTTTTGTTTTGTGTGATTGTGTCTCTAATAGGCTTGAAGAGCAAGAGAAACTAGTCACAGCAGAAGGATTGTACAGGAGAGCTTTGTCTCTTGATGACTCAAATCCTGAGGCGAAAGAAGCCCTGCATAACATCAATGACACCATACAGGTGAGCGGGCCACAACACCTGAACTAAAACCTTGCAGGGAATGCCTAGAATGCTGCCTTTATATTAGTCTTAACTATTGAAGGAACAGTAGATCCAGGAGTGGTTAGTAAAGTTTATTGTCAATCATAGGAGAATGGTTTAAGAATATAAAACAGGGTAAAATCCTGGAACATTAACATCACACTAAGGCCAAAAAAACATGGTAAAATTTTTTTTAAAATGGGACCTTTTACCAACAGCACCAGAAGGGAGTTGGTTTATTTATCATACCAACTTTCATTCAGAGGCCGACGATTGATGTCATTTAAAAATGTAGTTCATAATTGTACAGTTTTATCTCATTTATTCCTTTTTCACCTTTCCAATTAAAAGCAAAGATTTGCTCTTTTAAATGCAAGCCATGTGTAGAATTAGTTATGTTTTAACCGCTGATTCATTAATCATGGTTTTTCTGGCGCACATCAATTTTTACTTTATGCCGTTGAATTTATGACCTGCTTATACAGACTTCAGTTATGGCAATTATCTTCTATTACATGAGCCGGTAGCTTGTCTTAGCTGTAAAGTTAAGTACCAAAAGGTTTAGCTGCATATTCAGTCCTAAAAAGCTGAAGAAGTATAAGTTTTACTTTCTTTTTAACATAATTTTTCAGTTTTCTGAAGGACATAATTCATATAATGCTGTATGTAGATGTATTTGACCGGTGTTATTTACCTGAATCTTTTCCCTGATTATTCTATTTTACCTTTCCACACATTAGTACCTTTATTTCTTGACAGACTTGCAGAATAAATGCTGTAGACAAATGTTTATTGAAGTTGAAAGAGCATGTGGTTATAAAAGTCTATCTGGTTAAAAGGCCAAAGAAAGAATTTTAACTGAAAATAGAACTGCTTTGATTTAATTTTAAAAGCAAGATCCCAGAATCTGAAGGTGAAACTATGCTTCAAAGAATTTATATTTAGTTTGGTATCACCACACAAGTCCAAAAGTAGTTGTTATTTTGTTTTTCATATCAAATAACATTTTAAGGGCTGGTTATACTCCAGCAGCAGTGTGTCGCAGTGAGCTTGTCGCAGATATTTTTGATTTAGCGTAGTCTAGGCTATGTTATTCCATGCCACAATGCAAGAGGGACAATCACGAACTAGCTGTGGGTCTAGATACGGCCGAGGCAGTGAGGAAGTGGAGAAAAGCAAGGGGCAAGTTTGTGCAAAAACAGAGGGACATGAGGGGGGAAAAAGAGCAGGGATACAGGTGGAAAAAGGGTCCTTGTGCACCTCGCTCTACTAGCTGGTCCATCTTCACGAGTCATTTTCCACAATGTTGGTCATATAACAACCCGGTATGGTACCAAACAGGAAATACGTATAGTGTAGAGCGGATGTCTGCGGTCACCTACAATTTTGGAGAGTTGCACCAAAGTGGCTGCGAAAGGGGTGTGGGTATATCTGCTTTAACTGCGACACACACACACAAACAACCTGGTTTCTGAATATAGATCAGCCTTTAGCCCTGATGGTAAAAGTTAATGAAATGGTTTCATACAATATTCCAAATACAAGAAGGATTCAATTTGGATCGCAGTGTTTGGAAACTACAAATGATCGTCCTAAAATTGTTGTTCAGGCAGTCCAGGGTTCATATTTTGAACTCAAATATTTATATTATAACATATACTTTTGTAGTGAAAAACAACTAAAAAAAATCTGTCTATAATTGGAATGATGAAACTGTGTAGGCTCACTGGTTGGTGCATCAACTAGCCCAACTTTTTCTAATTCATTAAAACAGTCGTTCATGTGGAAGATGAATAGTTAGGAATGGTTAGCCTTGCTGCTAACAAAATCTTTTAAGGTCAGAGCATTAAACATTTTCCTGACTCACCGGTTTGTAATACTGATGAGGTGTTTTGTATCTCTGTGTTTCTGCTCCACCTTCTACTCTGGCCTGTGACCTTCGGACTGCTACCACTCTCTGCCACCTGTCTTGTGGGGGGTGGGTTGGAAACACAAACTGCTCTGTGCAAACGACTCTTCCTCCTCTGGAAACCGGTGCGTTCCGTGTGAACATGCTGCCAAACATGGTAACGTTGAAACTTTTCAATCACAATGGTAAATACTGCGTGAATTTCCTGTGTTTTCTGCCTCTGCTCCTAAACCACCTGCCTTACTTCTGAACCACACCAACGTTTTATGGTAAATGTGTGACTTTTAATTTCTTCATCTGTCTGGAAAATATTGTTTTTCCTTTTGCACTCCAATAAACTTCCAAAATAATCCTTTTCATTGGCCCCCATGTGAATGGAATGGCGATATTTTGGGGTTCTGTGCTGTATATTTTGTCTTATGGTGTGAATGTTTGTGAATGTGCTTCTATGGGCTTTCGCCTGCATGCTGTTTTTATGCCTTGTCTGAAAAGAAATCGATTCGCTTGCGAGAAGAAGCTCTTGCTAAGGAACAGGTCAAAGCTACAAGCAGTCAGACCAGCGCCGATAAATTACGTAAGATCTTAAAAGAGGAAAAAAGGTATGTTGAAACGTGTCAAGGACGTAGCAGCATGTCATATAACATTTCTTAAAAAAAAAAAAATCAGCTGTTTTCACTGAAAGATTTTTAGTGGATGTCTTTCATTTTTAGGGCAAAGAAGAAACGTAAGCGATCAGCTTCTTCCTCTTCATCCTCTTCTTCCTCCAGTAGTTCTTCTTCTACTTCCTCATCCTCGTCCTCCTCCCGCAGGAGGTCAAAGAAGAAAAAGAAAAAGCGGAGGAAGTCTGGGCGAGGAAGCAAACACAATCGCAGGAAGAGTGAGGAGGGTAAGAGTGGGAAAGGCAGGACAGAGAAAGAGGAGGAGGAGTTGGAGTGGTATCCTGCACCTCCTAACACCTCCGCCACTTTTCTCAACCAAAAAGATGGCCTTGTGTTTGGAGGAGGAGATGAGGATGGGAGGGAAGGAGGCGACGGAAAGATTAGTGAGCTGTATTCTTTGGTAGCCGTTTCAGATGGGGAAGAGTCCAACTCCAGTCGCAAAGAAAGAAATAGAAGGGACAGAGCAGATAGTGGGTCAAGTAAGAGTAAAACCAGTAGAAGCCCTCAACAAAATAAGAGTGATAGGAGAACAGAAAGTAGGGATAGAAGCAGAGACAGATGGAAGGAGGATAACAGAGGAGGCAGGAGAGACAGTGACTCCAAAAGGAGAAGCAGCGTAGAGGAGAACCATACTAGAAGGTTATCCAGCTCCTCAACTGAGGTGGAATATTCCCGCAAATCTGGTTTTCAATTCGAATTCTCTGGAAGGAACAGAATGAGACACGACTCTTCCACTAGGAGCTCCTTGGACGGTGGTAGGTATGAGAATAAGGAAGAGACAGAAAGGGAGAAGGGCAATGGGAGGGGCAGCGCAGAGGAGGAGAAAATGTCAGAACCTAAACAGAGTAAACAAACAGAGAGAGCTGGAGATCAGAACAGCCGGGGAGATGAGGGGCCCAAGAAAAACCTGCCATCTAACCTGTTGGACATTTTCAACCAGATTGCTCAGTTTGAGAAAGAAAAAGGGGTCAAGCCAAAAAAATAACGCCAAATTAAAAGTCCACCACACCCCAATGAGAGATGAAAGGATATTTGTTCAGTTTAATCTTTCTGAAAGTCTAAGTGTTGCTTTCTAAATGTTATGTTATTTCTAAAATGATTTACTCTGAAAGGTCTTACCTGTTCTGATGAAAATTCAGGTATTCTGTCTGCCTTTGTTCATCAAAACGTCAGTATTGAACTGTGACATATTGACGTCTTCCGTTGTCATCCATTTGATTTCCAAATTTATTGGACAACCAATGAACATTAAAAAAAGGCTTTAAGTTTTAGCAAGATGGGCTGTAATGTTTTTTGTTTTTTACTAACAAGCTGCCTTTTGTTCTCCTGTGTGCCTGCCTGCAATTTATTTTAAAGATCTTTTCTCAAAACATCCTCGGTTAATGCTACAGTAGTTTTTTTTGTTTTTTTTTTGCCTTAATACAGATACTCAAGCTTTAATCGAAAACAGTCTCTCCTGTCATAAAATGATCTATTCTGAACCAATAAAGCATTTAACCTGTCAAACTTAAAATGTATTTTTTTTTTATTGATCTAATTTTTGTTTAGATTCTGCTTCATTACACTAAAGTCTACCACTAATTGAAGATTTCATGCAGGGAAATATGATGACCCATATGGTACATATGATATGGTACATATAATATACCCATGTGCTGCTTGGTTCTTAATAAAGCAGTTGTATTGCAAAAGTCAAAAATGTTGACAATATGCTTAAAAAAAGGTCATAAAAATGATGAAAAGTCAAGCAGTCTTGCCACTTGGTCTATTTTCTATTGCAAAATCCTCTTGGTGGACACAGTAATAAGTGTAAAAACAGCATAATTCAGATTTCAGAAATATGGAGTATAAAACAAAGGTGTAAAAAGTTGCATTTCATGCAAGTAGAATGACTATCCAAATAAGATAGTAACAGAAAATCTGTTAAGAAGCAGTGTGGCTTTCTGTGTCAGTCCTATCAACCTTTGTGAAACTCAGAAATGCAAACACATATGTTTATGACCTTTAATTTAGCTTAGCAAAAATGACATTTCAACAACCCTACATATCTTTTAAAAACCTGTCGCTCAAGCCTTAAATATGGCTTTCCAACATTTTATAGTGCCACTGTTCTCAATTTGATATTTTATATTTACCAATGTTCTTCTTTACTACAATTGCAAAAATGAATCAACTTTGCATGCCCCATGAAGCCAAAGATCCAGCTATTCATAAATGAACTAGTTCCAATCAAATATCACCCATGAAATGTATATTTGTTTTATCTTTTTTTTTAATCTTACCCTTCTAAATGTCAAGAGTTTCTGCTGAAGCTTTTCGCTGTGCTTTCATGAAGTGTAATGTTGTCATGTGACCTCTAGATGGTGATAGAATCTTCTATGAGGCTAACCTGTAAAAATGGAAAAAACAAAGTCTTATGTAGTACACCACACTGCAGCAACTCAAAATTAAAAGAAATCCTTGGAAGAAGATGGTCTGAGGAGGATAGGAGGGTCAGTACCAACTGCTAGACTCCAGAAAGTTGTTATATTACTGAAGTGTCCCAAGAAGCATCTTATTTTCTGCTGTCATGATCTGTAATCTTACTGTTTCAAAACATTTTGCTGGCTGAATTTCAAAAACTTTAAAGTTCCTATCGGTAATTTTTGCTCTTTAATCGAGTGGAAATAACATATTTACACAATCATCCTGACATGGCTTGGTGTTCCTGCAGGTTCTTAGACATAATGGGGGGGAAAACCTCCCGTATCAAAGGAATAATTTGGAAATCTATGATCTCTTACGGAGAGACTCAGAAAGACATGGAAGTAGCAGCTACAGTAAAAAAAATGCATTTAACAGGCATGGCCTGTATGCACTCAATACAAAACTCCACTTCTTAACAAACACCATGTGGAAGCATTTAAAGGTTTTCTAATCACCATGTTTGGAGGTCAAAGGGGATGTAACCCTACAGGTACCATAGCAACAGGGAGAATGGGTGGTGAATATTTTCTAATGATAAAAAAAACACGTAATGAGATATTATTGATAATGAAACGCTGTCATCTGCTGGGATGATGAGATTTAAACAGGGAAATATGTTACAAGACAATTATCTCTTGACAGTTAAAATAAAGAAAATGTTATCGCTGAAATGGCCCATTCTATCACCTTACTGAAATGGTTTGCTGATCAATGAAAATGACTTAGTTCAGAGGCTGCCCAAATAACCCTCAGGATTTAAAGACTTGTGTGTCAGTAGGACAAAATCCCACCTAAGCAACGCAGTTTATCTTAAAACTATCCTCAGCAACACGTTTTTTTTAAGGAGTATTGGGGACATATCAGCAAGGGTGTTCAATACCTTTTCACTGTTACATTCTAATTTATCACACATGAATTTATGGACGTCTACAGGTTGATATCTTTTCATGTGGGGATTGGATGGATTTTACCAGACATGTAGGGAGAATTATTTGACAAAGCTCCTTAATAGATGTATTTGTTCATAACCTATTCTCACACAGTTTATCTTGATCTAGTCATTTATGTCTATTTTTTTTTCAAATATGGTTTACAGCTAATAAAAAAATAAACAAATTTTGCCTCAGGGAAATGGCTCAAGATCAGTAATGGTGTTTTCAGTACTATACAAGTGTGTCACTCTGCTATCTACACTTCATGCTTTATGGGGGTTCCTTCTGAATGAATTACTGAATTGCTGCAGAATGGCATGAAGGCAGCGAGTTGTGACTATGCTGCGCTGTTAAGAATGTCTAGATTGCTTAATTTTGTTGGCAGTGTGAGCATGAACCAGAACCTAATGAAAACAAAATCAGCATAAAGCTTTTCAGCAGGCGAAAGCATAACATTCTTTAAAATGAGTACCCTTTACCACAAAGAGCTGCAATTTGTTTTTTTTTTGTTTTTGTGGGCTTTGTGTGCCACACTTTGGGATCTTGGTTTTCAAAACAAAATGTTTTTTTATCCAAAAAGAAGATTTTTGACCTCTGAGCATTAATCCACTTTATATCCCCATTGTCCCAGGTAAACCCAGCAGCTGCACTCTGTTTTTTTTGTAAATCCCACCTTGGATGAACTTTGTGAAAAGTCTTGTATTCCCTGTCTCTCTTTTCTTTTTTCCTTCTACATCCCTTTTTCTTTTCACTTCAACTTTCCATTAATATGGAAATTTGAGTGATTGAAAGCTGATAGGAACCGAAACCAGCTCAGGGTCGACCTATACTGATAACAATTAACCTAAATCTTTATTTTCCAAAGAAATCACTGAAGATTGAGCAGATTTTCATGAGGCCCTTGCTAATAAAGCTACGCACATATTTAAACATCAGTGCTATTTAAATGAATTAATGGTTCTATATCATGAGTAACCAATTTAAAATCAGTTATGTCTGAATAAAGAAAATGAACAACCAGTAAAGGTTTGGAGACTTTTTTTAATTATAATTTGTTACTTCAAACATCATTTAACACTGAAATAAAATGCAGGTGTTTATGCATCCATGTTGTAAATAAAATTTTTAAATATAGAATATAAAAAATATATAAAGTTTTTCCATTTTATTTTATGATTTTATAAAACATGAACTGACCTTTTTTTTCTTTCTTTTTTTTTATGGCTTAATGAGACCACTTGGCTTTAGGCTGCCCTGCAAGGCTTTAAACCTGGGTTTGAATGGAGACAAACACATATCAAGGTGCTCATTTTTAGCCTGGATCCATATTTATTTTTGATTCTGTTCATGGTGGAGAATCCTACTTCACAGCAGCAGGTTGAGTCAAACATACTATAAATGTGCAGGGTCATCTTTGAGCATTTCACTTTTCTTTCACTAGTTCACCGCACTTCTTCCAGCAGTCCACACTTTCTTTCACTTTTTCTCTTTGTCTTCTCCTTCTTTCCCATCGCCCGGCTTGCCACAGGTTTGCCTGCTGTGTCTAAAAGTAGCAGCAGCGACCCAGACTGACAGCAGCTCATTGGCTAATTTGTATCGTGCAGCTTGGTGCCGGACGCTCTGGATGGCTTTACCTTACCCACAGTAGAACATTTAGACACTGTTGTTAAACTACATGTATTAATTTATAAATGTTTTAAATCAGGTTGGGTCTGGATTAGCCAGCAGGTGGGTCCGGATCTGCACCCTGGTCCGCTAATCCGTTACCTCTGTTCTATGAGGGGCGTTCGATAAGTAATGCCCCTGACCCACCTCCAGATGTTTGATCCAGCTGAAATTTAGCAGGTGAGGTTATATAGATCTCTATAGATTAAGTAGCAAATTACAGCTCTGAACTATTTGTGGTTTCTGACTTATAGGTGTTTGAACTGAATAAAGTCTGAAATGGAGCCTGTTGAGTGTCGAGCAGTTATCCAGTTTTTTTTATTTGAAAGGCCTAACACCAAAGGAGACTTTTGACTAAATCAAAGTAACTTATGCTGATGATGCCTGTTATATGACCTTGCAAATTTCACAAGGTTATATTATGGGACATTATCACTATGAGTTACTTTCATTTGATCAATCTCCCATTGCGTACATCCTTTTAAATGCAAAAACACAGACTTGACTCAGTTTGAACACCTGTAAACCAGAAACCCCAATTAGTTCAGAGCTTTAATTTGCTATTTAACCTGTAGAGATTTAAATAATTTCACATGCAAAATTTCTGGTCGATCAAACATCTGGAAGTGGGTCGGGGGCATTACTTATTGAACGCTCCTCGTATAACATATGCATTAAATGGGTTCAGCAGCTGAGCATTTTCTTTAGTTACATAGACTGAATGACTGTAGAGATTAATTCTACTCCATAAAACATTAAAAGTATTTATCATAGTTTCATATACTAACTTTAAAAAATGTCAAAGTAGGATATTCCAAATAATGGTATCACTGCTGCCACCCTCTAGTTTCAAGGAGAACGGCTTATTCCATTGATTGTTAAATATATTGCGGTGGAAATAAAAATCACCTGATGCAGGGGCAACAGTGATGCCCAATAATTGATCCGCCCCTGATTCATAAATGGTGTTTGTGAACAAACACCATTTAGCAATGAAATATTGTGGCTTTACCTCCTCTGCCTGAGAGCACCCATATTTTCTCATCAGCTGTAACCATAATCCTTAACTTTGTTGGAATTGCTGCAATATATTGAGGTTCACTTTTAGATTTAAATAACTGTTAACAATTTTTCTTTTATATTTTTCAGTTTATTGAGATGCACCTCTTGAAGCAACTTTTAACCA